AAAAAAAAAAAAAAAAGGCCCTTCAAGGTCTGGCCCCTGTCCATCCCTCCAGACCATCTTATTCCTTTCAGACAATGCTCCAGGCACAATTAACTTTTTTCTGTTCCTTAGACCAGGCAAAGCTCATTCCTGCTACAAGATCTTTTCACTAGCTGTTTCATCAGCTTGAAACATTCTTTCACCAAATCTTCATATGGCTCACTGCATATCAAAGAGGCCACCTAGACTAAAATAGTCCTCGGTCACTCTCTATTGGGTAAACCTCTTTTATTTTTATCACAGTGATTATTACTACTTTCATCATACCACTTATTACTACCTTGTATTATCTTGTTCTCTCCCCTAGTATTATTACGTATATTCCAGGAGAATAGGGATATTATCCATCTTGTTTAAAGCTGTATCCCTATGTCTGGCACACAGTAGGTGATCAATAAATGTTACATAAATGAAAAAACAGATGAGTCAGAGACACCTCTATGATGCACTGACTATATTATTAGAGGCAGTAAGTCTGTAGAACTTGCCTTCCATAATCATCTCTTTAGTCACTGACTCAGCTGGCTCCCCCACTTGCTTACTTGCTCACTCATACTCCCAGGACAAGAGTTAATTTCATAAAGAAGAAAAGCCCTAAGGCTTCCACTTACTATTGGTATCAATCATGTAGACCAACAGAAAGCTGGAAATGCCTGTAAGGAAGTTGAATGTAAGCAGTCTGGTATAGGCAGCAGCACTATTGGAAAACAAGAAGCTCATCAGGTATATGAGGGGAATGGTGGACCAGCCGAACAGCATTAAGATCAGCAAGGCATCTGCATAGTGGTTGTCTTCAAAGAACGCTTTCACATTACAGATATAGAAGACTACCTAGGAGCATGAAGACCAAGGCCAGAGGTAAGGGATTCATTGGTTGAGGGAGGAGGAGGGGCGAAGGGTAGGAGAGAGTGTACCAATTAAGAAATTGGCTCAGAATACTAAACCAAAAAAACCAAACCTACTCCAGTCCAGTCTAATTCTCACTCATAGTGGTCCTACAGGACAGAGTAGAACTGTCCCATAGGGTTTCCAAGGCTGTACACCTTTACGGAAGCAGACTTGCCACATCTTTCCCCCAAGAAGTGGCTGGTGGATTTGAATCATGACCTTCTGACTTGCATCAGAGCGCTTAACCACTGTGCCACCAGGGCTCCTCAGAACACCAAACCAAACCTGCTGCCATTGAGTCAATTCTAACTCATAGAAACCCTGTAGGACAGAGTAGAACTGCTCCATAAGGTCTCCAAGGAGCGGCTGGTGGATTTGAACTGACAGTCTTTTGCTTAGTAGCTGTGCTCTTAACCACTTCATCACCAGGGCTCCACCAGGGAGATGAAAATAGCTAGTTCTGCCTTTTAAAGCCCTGGCTCATAGGCCTCAGGGTGAACCATGTCCACCTATTCATATTGGAAGTAACTACAAAGAATATAGAACAAGCCTTTCTCCACCTCCTTCCTTCTCTCTCTCTCTCTCTCGTTTTTTCCAAGTTAGAGTAGTTGTATTTATTTATTTTTCTTGTTGTTCTTCTTCCTTTTTTTGTTTGGTTAAGGGAGTTATAGGGAAGATGGCGTAGCTGTTGTAGATATTCCTGATAAGAAACTGTTTTAAGATCCTAGGGCAAAATTTCTCACATGTTAAGTAAGCAAATAAGAGTCAGGCCCAGGCTTAGACAGCTGGTCATTGGTGTCTGTTGAGATGCTCAGGTGATGCACCAAGTAGCTGTTGTGGGATGAAGATGTGGGCAGGAAGAACATTGCACACAAAGGCTTTCATGCTGTATTTCCCAGCATGAGGAATTAGGCAAGTGACCTGAGCTAGAGGAGAACATGTCCAGATACAGGCTAAATACTTACCAGTAGCAGGGAGGAAGAAACAAAGAAGACAATGATATCCCAAAACAAAGCAGAAAGCCAGAAAATACCAACACGTGCTCCACTCACAAACTGGATGTTCTTCGCCTTACAGACTCTCTCACTCACCGTCAGGAGAGAAAAACTACTAGCCACGATGGCTGTGCCAAAGAACAAACTGAAGGCAACGTCATGTCCTTTGCTGCCCCTGCAGAAGATGGAACGTGAGAAAAATATGGTGGGTAGTAGGAATACAATCTGTACAAACAGCTATTTCCTTCAGCAGGGGTTTGCAGAATTTTGGATCCTACTGACCTGTAAGTTTTTAAAAAATCATTTTTGGGAATCAATAAGCAATTGCCAACTTGTTTGTCTGTCGACAAATAAGGACATTATATAAAAGCTATGATCATCAAAAAGGATGTTTTAACTTCAAAAACGTAGGAAGGAGATAATCTCAGAAAAAAGGACAGTTTTCCTAAGAAAGGACAGTTGGCTACCTTATGTTAACATATACATACTTAACTTTTTTTTTATTTTGTTTTGTTTGTAATTTTACTTCCAGCTAGTGAAAAGTTATCATAGACTAGCATTTGTCTGCTTTAGGACCCCTTTATACTCTTTAAAATTATTGAAAACCCCATGAACTTATGTTTATGTGGATTATATTGACACTTAATATATTAAAAATTGAAACTGAGAAAGTAAAAAAAGTTGCTTAAGTCATTAAATTAACAATAATAAACCAATTACATGTTAACATAAATAACATATTTTAAAAAATCACTGTATTTTTGCAAACAATAAAAATTTAGTGAAAAGGGGCGATATTTTATATGTTTGAAAATCTCTTTAATATCTGGCTTAACAGAAGACTGCTGATTATTATTATCTGATTGTGTATTCAATCTTGTGTAATACTTCATTTTGGCTGAAGTATATGAAGAAGATCTAGTTTCACCACATATATATATACTTATAGTTGAAAAGGAAGAAATATTTTAATAGCCTCTTCAGATAACAGAGGAAACCCTGGTGGCACAGTGGTTAAGAGCTACGGCTGCTAACCAAAAGGTCAGCAGTTCGAATCCACCAGGTGCTGCTTGGAAACCCTATGAGGCTTGCATGCATGATCGTTCTACTCTGTCCTATAGGGTCACTGTGAGTCAGAATCAACTTGATGGCAACGAGTTTGGTTTGGTTTTCAAATAACAGTAGATATTCCTCTTAAATTCTACATAAACACTTGACAAGTGGTGGTTTCTTAAAGGTTAGTTGCAATTAGAGTGACCAACTTGTCCTGGTTTGCCTGGGATTTTCCTGGTTTTAGCACTGAAAGTCCTCTGTCCCAGGAAACTCCTAAGTCCTGGGCAAACCAGGACAGTCGGCCACCCTAGATACAATGTGGAATCTGAAAACTGTATCAATGAACTTCCTGTACTGTGAAAATATAAATCCATTGGTTTATCTTGCATTTTCAATGGATCTTTTATTTATGCGTGACTGTCTAACATTATGAATTGGTCACCTGGAAAATATTATTATGAAAATTGTTTTGAACTCGCAGGCCCCCTGAAATGGTCTGTGGCACCCCCAGGAGTCCTTGGATCACACTTTGAGAACCATTGTCTTAGAGCATAACATAGAAATGTAATAAACATTATAACATATAAATCCCAGAAAAACTTAAATCCCAGAGGAAGCAAAACCACACATACTCATGGAATTCTTGCTTTCTTGCTTGTTTGGCAGTTTGAGGCTGAGGCTTGTTAGAGACAGAGATAGAAGCGCCGGGGCCAGCAAGTAACTTGAACAGAACGTTGTTGACCAAACTTAGGGCAACTGGAGCAGCATGGTATGCATGGTTGTTAAACAGAGCAGTGATGATGGTTTTGCTTTTTTGGACATCAAGGGAAATAGCAACAATACATCGTTCCCTACAGCTTTTACTTTTCAACAGGAACTCTTCTAAATTACCTAGAATACATGAGGAAAACAACAGTCATGGGTCAGCATACATGACGGTTTGATTCCATTCAACAAACATTTACTGACTTAATCCCAGGCAATGTGCTAGGCACTGGGATACAGAGGAGGTTGGGGAGTTTACAATCTGGAAGAACAGCTACTGTGTATTTTGGGTCAGGAGAGGAAACAAAAGCCATAGAAAGAAACAATCTGTCTTCATCTGGAAGATGAAACATAAACACACCATCAAATGATAAAGGTATTATGTAAATGCTAACACAGAAGGTGTGAACATTGATCAAAAGATTTAATTTAAAAACAAGGCAGTGTATGCCTCGTCTGGGGCATTGGAATACCTGAGTGTTTACTGATGGCTCTACCATTTATTGTCTGTCCCTGGGTTAATCATATACCTTCTCTGAGTCTCACCTTTGTTGTGAATATTAAATGGAATGCTGCATGTCGAAGGACTCAGTGGGCTAAAAAGCACTATATAAATATGACGTTTACTTGTGTAAACTTTGTGAAAGCATAGCCTTGTTCATCTTTTTCTCTCTCAGCATCTAACAGCTTTTGGATAATTATAAATGGTTGTTTAATTAAACCAAATTCATTTTTTGTTCTGGTTCCTTTGTCTGTCAGTTCATTATGTATCATTCCAGTTCCCCAAAAGGTAAATATTTTCAAAGATTTCCATTCTAAAGAATCAAAAAGGCCATCTAGAGTCCCATCATTTACTTAGATAGGTCAGATGTGTTTAGCCAGGTTGGCCTCCCTGAAGACCTTGGTCACCTCCTTATGCTACTGAGTAGGCTCTTTTACATCCTACAAGATTTCTGGGTAAAGGCTGGTGGGACCAGAGATAAGAAAGGACATGTTTCATACCATATTTTCCCTGCTTTCCTGAGATTTATGACAAGAAGGAATTGAAAAGCAGCCTGTTCCAATTTGTGAAGCATGTGAACACTCTTCAAGCGGTAACAAGGTCTTCATACATCAGAAGTCCTTCTCTACAAAGCCCTTACCTGTCACTGGGTGTGGCAGTTGTTTCTCATTCGTTAGTATAAGTTTTATGTGGTCTGTAAACCGAAGAGTCAACTCAGTTTGCACAGACATAGTGTAAGGCACAACAGATTGACCATATTGGTGCAAATCCATCCCCAGAATGGGGGCATCCTTTACTTCTGAATAGTAGAAGATGGCTTTCAGGAGGAAGGCAGTGAAAAACAGTAGTATCAAAATCTGCAATAACATTGTCTTCCAGTGACGAAAAGTATACAAGGCCCTTTTCATCAGCAAGGCATAGAACTGCTGGATGCAAAGAATAATCTACAAAGAGGAGAGAGACATAAAATAGTCTTCTAGTCACCTCAGGTCAGAGTTTAGAGGGCAATTACTTGATCTTCTAGGCCTGGGTTAGATGACCCTGTTATGTGACCTGATAGCACTCTGTACTCTTTTCCTATCACAATGCTTAGTACTTTACACTGTAATTGCATGTTTAATCATATGTCTTCTTTGCTAGACTGCAAACTCCATTAGGACAGGTACCGATTTTGTCTTCTTCATCATGATTAAGTGAAACAGCTGCTAACCAAAAGGTCAGCAGTTCAAATCCATCAGCCACTCCTTGGAAACCCTACTCTGTCCTCTAGAGTCACTATGGATCGGAATCAACTTGATGGCAATGGGTAGCATAGAATAAGAACTCAATTAATAGAGAGAGAACTCAATTAACACTGGTTGACTTGAATTGAAAGAACAGGCAACTCAAGTTGATATTCCTTGTGGTGCTCAGACTACAGTTTAATGGTAGGTATATAACAATATACATAATAATATTCCTAGAAAAAATAAGCAAAAGTCTCCAGCAGAAAGGAGAATGATGGGACAGGATTTTCCCACCAACATGTGTAGTTTACTGTGGGATGGATGGATAATAATATATTTTAATATAATATAGTATGCTGAGGGTGCTATCAGAGCACTGAAGAGCATCACCCAGACAAACCTGAAGGTTCAGGGAAGGGTTCCTGGATAAGATGAGGCTTGAGGTGAATATTTAAAATATGAGTTAACTAGGGTAAAAGTATGACAAAGCTTGGTGGATATAGAAATCTAGGTGTTTCAAGAGCATAATTTTCAAAGTGAGGGGTTACAGAGGGAGTTTAGAGAGACACTTGAGGGCAATATATGTTTTGCTAAAGAGCTTGGATTTAATTCCGTAGATAATGGGAAGTCAATGAAGAGTTTTAAGCATCCAAAACCCATTGCCATCAAGTCGATTTTGACTCACAGCGACTCTACAGGACAGAGTAGAACTGCCCCATAGGGTTTCCGAGGTTATAAATCTTTAGGGAAGCACGCTGCCATATCTTTCTCCTGCATTTTAAGCACAGACTTTAAAATAGGTCATTTAGGTGTAGTTCAGAGGATGGATTTAAAGGTACGTACGTAAAACTGTAAGAGACTTAAATAAGACTAATTATGTGAGGAGGGACCAGTCCCTGGAGAAGGACATCATGCTTGGTAAAGCAGAGGGTCAGCGAAAAACAGGAAAACCCTCAACAAGATGGATTGACACAGTGGCTGCAATAATGGGCTCAGGTATAACAACAATTGTGAGGATGGCACATGACTGGGCAGGGTTTCGTTCTGTTGTACATATGGTCACTATGAGTTGGAACTGACTTGACAGCACCTAACAATAACAACAATCATGTGAGGTGACCAGGGTTTGAATTAGGAAATGAGGGTAAAAACGGAGAGGGAGGGAAGATTAGAGGAATATTTAGAGGAAAATTGTCAGGACTCTGGTTGATTTCCTGTGAGAGATGCAGAAGAAGGTGATGCCTAGGATTCTGGTTTGGGCCTTGGGAACCTTGTGGGGAGAAGTGACTGGTCATGGTAAAAATTGGGGTATTTCTAGGATCATTCCACTTAATACTACCAGATCACATACTAATCTTACGATAATCTCCACTGTTAACCAAACCTTCCAATTTTATAATCCCAAGGAAGAGTAATCACCCCAGTATTAAAACGAATGTTAGGTAGATCTTCTGGCATCAAGAAGTCACCCTTTGGCTTATCATCCAGAGTTGCGAGGCACGGTTGAATTCCTTTAGGATCATGCTCAGAGGGGAGCTGAGTGGCCTGGAGATCCGTGGTAGAGTCCGTCAATTTGTTGACCCTGCATCAAAATACCATGTTTTAACTATGCTCTGTGGGAAGGATCCAAGAGAAGACAGGCAGGCCCTCATCCAGCTGAAAATTCTATGGGGAGAAAAAGAAAACTAATCAGTTAATTAAATGTTAAAACAGGGAAGACAAGAACTTTCAGTAGTAGTAACTAACATAGCTTTTCTGGGCTCAGGGAAGTCTTCCTGGATGAAGTGATCTTTAATTTGAGAGTTAAAGAATGAGTAAGAATTACTTAGGTGAAGAGGGCAGAAAGAGCATTCCAGACAAAGGGAAGAGAGTATATGAAGGACTGAGAGTGAGAGAGGGGACTGTACTGAATGAAGTCAGTATGCCTGGATTACAGAAGGAAAGGGGAGAGGAGGGAAAGCTGGATCATGTAAGACCCAGTATATCGTGCTCCCTCCTATTATAACTGAAAAGTGTCCTCCTCCTCGTGTAAGGCTAATCCATCCATCTCTGCTCTGGCTTCTCCCCTTTCTCCTCATCATTGGGAACCTTATCACCACTCTATCTTTGAAGTCTTGCTTTCTAATAGCTCTTCTTCATCAGCATCTTAATATCTTTAATACACCTCCCTAGACCCCATGTCTGCCTTCCATCTCTCCTCCCCATCACAGTCAGTATCCCACATTTTGCTAAATCCAAAGAATATGTTTTAGTCTTTACCTTATTAAACCTCTCAGCAGCATCTGACACTGCTGACCATCTTGTCCTTCTTGAAACATTCCCTTTATTTTTCATTCTCATCTTTTTATAAGTCCTTCTTTATCTTTCCTTCCTTAAAAGTTGGTGTTTTGTAGGGTCCTATCCTAAGTTCTTTCTTTCCTTTACTCTTCAGCAGAATTCTCAAATATTTGGTATTTACAGGCTATTTAAA